CACAAGAGCCGTTTTACTCGGTATTTACAGTACTTTCGTGATGGCGGACCCTCTTCTATGATGATGGTTGATGATGGTGATCATGATGATGATGATGCATGATGAAGGATGATGATGGATGATGATGACCGATGATGGTGGTGGATTGAGGCGCCAGGTGGTTGGTAGGAGGGGGGGGTGGCTAGTAGTAGTAGTAGTAGTAGTAGTAGTAGTAACAACCTATCCCAAAGCCCCTAAGAACCCTTAAGCCCTAACCTCAGAACCTTTGGGCCCCTCAACGCCCAAACGTAAACTCCGCAATCTCCGAGGTTTGTCGGCCCTGCGCTGCGGGCACCTTCAGCCCGGCACCGGGGGCCTTCTCAGAGGAGACTTGCGCCACGCCCCTCGGCCAGAGCTCGGTTTAGGGTTTAGGCCCGGGGCTTAGGGTTCTAATGTGATCTTTGCATGTGAGATCAGATGAGAATGAGATCCGTAGGAGTATCTACGCTACTGAGTTGAAACTGATTAAGCATGCTCGCGATAGCATAAGAATCAAAAGAAGTAATAGCAGTCGGAGAGAGTGGAAGCTTGCCGGGGCAAGCTTTCCAAACCTCATGCGAACGGAAAGGGACGTGTAAAAAAGACAAAATCGTCAGAGGTGCCCATCCGGCACCTTCAGCGCTACTCTGGGCGCCACGTCCTCGGCCACTTGCACCGGCTGCCCGCCCGGCACATTCAGCAGTGAGGAAGGCCGGCATCGCTTGGCTGGGGGGGGTGGGGGGATGTATACATGTCTACATATATATATATATACACACACACATATATATATATGTATATATACATACATATTATATATATATATATTGCATTTGTTTATGGATTTTTTGTTTGTATAATTTTTTAATCTGTATGTGCACAGACACGTACGCTATACTTTCTTGTAAGGTAACGAAACAGAATATAACACCGTAGTATAGTTATAACTGTTTTTTATAGCGGTATGGCTGCCTGTTGCAGGGGCGTCTTCCTCTCAGACCTGTATGAAATGTGGCCCGGGCACCTACCAGCCCATCACCTCAGTGCCGGGCTCAGGCAGAGATGTGAGTTTCCAACGTGCCACGGAGCTGACTCCTCCCGAAACCCTAAACCCTAAACTCAAGTTCGTCCTTGCTATGTGGGAGGGCAAACAACTCAAGCTCACTGTTGAAGCTGAGGGTGGCCCAGGACATGATCTAAGCGAAGCAACGCGCACGACGCCTTAGGAAGTTGACTGGCTCCACCCCTCATCCATGAAATAGTTCGTGAAAGTATCCTCTTAACTGGTCCCTTTCAAAATTGTCGTGTGCAGGCCCCCAGACCCAATTCTAAGTCTTGAGGTCCCTATAAGACTCCTCAGGCCGCCTCCAGCTCGCTGTGCATCAAGTGTGCCGTGGGCAACTTCTCCTCGGCATGGGGAGAGTCGACTTGCCACTTCTGTGCCAAAGGCGCGGATCGGAATTGAACAAAAAAAATCGCGAAAAAGTTTGAGGGTGTAAGGAAGGGTGAGGGCATTCGGTCGATTTTGCCGGCTACTTAAGCAGCCTAGAGTGGCATGTAGAGAAGGCGTTGTACCGGCAGGTACTCATGGCATGAATGACAAACAAAGGCATGCGGTGCTTGTTGACAAACGTGCGCATCTCTTCGCCGGGGACGTTAGGCTAATGAGCAAGAAGAACTTCCGAGCATGCGTGCGACTAGCATGAAAAGTTGATCTCTGAACCTGCGAAGATTGATCCTGTCAAATGTGGGTGCCAGAGGTCGAGACCTGCTGCGCTGCGTCTCCGCGAAAGTACACATGCACATGTACGCGACATGTACACATGCACCCGCACATCCTCATCCCTGCAGAGGGTCCTATGGCAATGCCTTCGGCCTGACGGCGTGCTTGGACTGCCCCACCGGGTCCACCACCACGATTCTGGGTGCAATTCGAGAAGGCATTGCATCTTCTGCTTGTCAGGTCTTTGACACAAGATGCTTTGGCTTCACTCTTTGGCTTCTTCCGATTAACGACTCAACTGCACAGACGCAGGTCTGTTGCGTTCAGTTGCATCTGGAAGGCTCTGTGTAAACTTTCAGGCCAGGTGTTTGTCCTCATTCACCTGAAGGTTCTCAGTCAGCATCCTAAACCCCTAAACCTCACGATTTTAACAGAGGCCTCGCACTTTGGCCCGCAAAAGTCCCTCGAGACCCAGTCGCCACAACAGACCGCCACTCCGCCACTCCACATCCCCTCCCGCTTAGACCCGGCTGCTCAAGTTCAGCTTTTCCTAAAGCACCTTAGGTTTAGGGATGCTTAGGGCTAATTTAGGCTGAGGTTTAGGATTTAGAGGTGTAGAGCTTTGGGTTTAGGTTTAGGCTTCGGCTTTTGGGGGCAATTTGCGAGCACTTCTTTGCGTATTTTCCCGCGCTTTGCTGGCCGCAGGCATGTGCATCAAGTCGTCGATCCTTGATTCGACGCCTGGCAGCACGAGGACGTACTGATCCATGAGGGCTCTTTAGGGTTCTATAAGAATTGATTATGTTACTTTTAGGCTTTTAGGGCTTCATAAGGGGAGAGCGGTGTTGACAAAAGGTTGGGGTTCCTTCCACCGTGTCCCGATATTTCCGCTTGCATTTAATTTTGCCAGCTTACACTGCATACCTGCATGTGAGACATCCAGCCCGGTGCCTGCAGGGCCCCCAGTGAGGGTTCTGAAGATGTTGCCGGCGAGACAGAGGATGAGGGCCACGTCCACGTGCTCCTTCCATGAATCCGGGGTGCGCAAAGAAAAGAGCCTTCAGTAGTCTACTTAAGATCAGCTAGAAAATCGAAAGCCACTGCACAAGTTGGGAATCAACTGGAGCTGGCGTGGTCCGGGGGGCGTTGCTAAGTGCACCCAAAAGCCAGCCGAGCAGGAGTGCCTGCGTCCAGTGCAGAAGGTAATAGTTCCTATTTTGATGAGCAGTGAAGAGCGAAAAGCATTGCGCATACCAGCAGTGTCAGCAGTGTGTATAGTGGTTAAGCAGTGCGTATAAATAGTGGTTAAGACGATTGCGACTGCAGTGCTGCCGTGTGTCTTCAGCCTCAGCATTCGTATAAATCCCCTGTCAGATGTATCACAACCAACACTGCAGCATCCCATGTACATGTACCGATCATGTATGTGTATGTATGCATGAATATGTGTGTATGTATATATATATAGAGAGAGAGAGAGAGAGTCGCATAAATCTCAAGACTATACGTACAAATTACACATATATGAATGTTTACTCGTCTCTATTCTCTGTATTTGCACATGCAATTATACGCATACACACATGCATGCATGCCTGCATGCATACATACGTTACATATATACATACACATATAAATATCCATGTAATACCTACGCCGGTCATGACTGTACATAAGATGCAGGATACACTTTCATTGACACTCTAGTCAATGCTGGAAAATCTTATCAATGCTCGGGATGGTCATGCGATTCTATCTACTTGTACACACACTCAGAAACAAATCATCGGAATTGTTCGGGTTGTAAGATTATTGGAAGCAAGAGGTTAGCAACGGAGTCGTGCTGGATTTCAACAAGACTGCTGCTCCTGCATCAGTTCCACCTATGTGACTATGAACAGGTTTGCCCTAGATTTGCTATGGCTGCTCCACATCGCCCTTTGTCAAAGTTACCAGGAACTCAGTACGAGTATTCGTCTTGGCAGCTTCTAGTGCCCTCCCAGAACTGAAAGTTTCGCAATGGTGCTCGCATCATGGTCTTTACCCTTCGTTGCTCACGTGCTCGGCAGCTTGAATTCAAGGTCCCAGCCAAGGAAACCTTGACCAGGGAACCGAAAGTTCTTGACCTTCGGAGACAACTCCGGGGGGTCTCGGATCATTTCGTTTATGCAGCCCTCTCGGGTCGGTTGTCCGGGAGGACCCCGGGGGCCTTCGAGGAAGCCGACGCCGCTGAGGGAATTTGGTAGTTCTTTTGAGGTTTCGGGTCTCCTGTCTCGGCTCTTTTTTGGGAGCCGTGGAGGCCTTTGCACCTTTTTGTGATATGGGCGGGCACGGACCGTAAACCTGTCGGGATGTCAGAGCTTGGTTGAGATACCTCTTTGGACTGACGCGTCTATCCTCACCAGGGGCTGGGCTTTGGTGTTTCTGGGATTGTGACAAAGCGTAGATAGCTAAAAGTTTGAGCCCACGCTGCATTCGACTTTGCGTGATCACTTTCTTCGTTTGGGCCCCTTGACTTTCCATAATGGTTTGCACAGGCACTTCATGCATTAGATGGGTCAGTCAGATCAGTGCTGGTGCGGCTGCCCACCCCATATCTTAGTCTTAGTAGGCTTAGTAGCGGAACCTTTGCGAAGCGACGAAGGCCGCCAGGAAAACCAAGCTAAAGGGCTGTTTCTTGAGTTGCGAAAATGAATAGCTGATTTGTTTGCTGCTTCGTCGCAACCAGACCATGAAATTAGGCTTGGTCGGCAGGCGTTCCACGTGGTTACATCTAAGGCTGGTTTGGCTGATGCACATCTACTTCCAGAGCTCTAGGCTCAGACAGAGATACGGCGAGAGGCATCTCCCAAGTAGTTGCCACGAATGGTGGGATCTGTCGGCGCGAGATCCGAAAGGCCTGGCCCCAAGACCAATTATGGCGATGAGGGCATCTGAAAAGTGAGTATGCCACATGCATGACCTTCCCAGGTTGGCACCTGCATGGCCAATTGAAGCCTGGGGACATGGTCCAGGAGCTCAACATCAGCATCCTTAGTTTGGAGTGTTTTGCAGTCGAGACAGACTGGGTCTCATTTTGTCGATCAGGGGACTCCTGGCACCCTGGTGCAGAACGTGCTTGAAAGCCGTTGAGCTGGAAACCTCCGGCAATCATGCCCGTTCAGCTCCCGAAGCCATTTGGTTTGCAAGAGTTTAAGCGTAAACCATGCCTTGCCTCTTCAGGCCCAAGAACTGACTTCGGTGGCAAGCGACCGGACCATGGGCTGGCAAGCATCAGTCCGTTGTCTTGAGGAGCACGAGCCACAGAAGCATGCAAGCAGAAGCAGCGGCAACAGCAATCCAGCAAATTATGCTGCGGAATTCGCGACGGCGGCCAGAGGTGTCGAGCTGGTCAGTTTTCCACCTCCCAACAACACCGTGTTGAACCTCATTCAGGAAACGACGGGGATTCCTCGCTTGTCGGCCCAATGTCGCCCATCATTGATGGAAAGCCGACGGCACTGCTTCTGCTGCAGGGGAAAGCCATCCACCCACTTCATGAAATCCACAAACCCTAAACAGCTGCCCAAGTCAAATCCTAGGACCCAGGCCTGTAGGTCGACTAGGGTTTATCCCAAGAAGGCCGCAAGGTTGATCTTGGACGTAATGGGGCCAGTGGAAGCCAAAAAGATGCTGATGAACTGGAACTCCGTGTCAAGACAGTGAAAAATGAGCATGGGAGTGGTTCGACTTGGGCCGGCTGCGAAGGGTGAGCTCGAGAACAGCCCCCCTACGGCCCCACTCCCTCCGCCTCATCCTCTCAGCATGGCTGGGAGCTGCCTCTGAAAGTAGTTTGCTTTCTTCATTGGCCTTCTCCATGGTGGGCTGCATTGGTTCCAGGTCCTGCTTGCTTCAGCACCTTCTCCCTTACCGGCCGCACTCCCTCCATCAGCAAGTCTGCCCTGCGGCTGTCTTCTTACGAAGCTGTACGGTTGAGGCTTCATCGCCGTCCCCTGCCCCCAATTATGTCGTAGAAGTTCAAAACTGGCTCAGACCTGCGGGGTTGCGAACGTGATGAGGGCCCAGAAAGCTGCAAGGATTAGATAGGCAACCCTAAGATTAAATAGATGCTAACACATGCATATTTTGTATTCCTTCTGGCCTGCAGATTGCACGTGGCAAAGCCTCATCCTCTCAGCATGGCTGGGAGCTGTTTCTGGAAGTAGTTTGTGGGCTGACTCCTCAGAGATGCCGGTTGGTTCCAAATTCCCTGTTGGCACAGAAGAACTAGTAGTAGATTCGAAGTTTCCGAATTTTTTCTGTATCAAAAGCGAGATTTTAGATAAAAGAATTTCAGAGATGCAGGAAGTTGCAGAAACAATGGTTGTGACTAGTGGTATAAATAATTGAATATGGTATATTTATTCGAAGGCTGTGTCATTGAGATTTTGGGCGCAAATTTTGTATTCAGGCGGCATAATTGATAAAACAGAAAACAAAAACAATTAGATGATCACTGTTTTTTAGAGAAAAGAAAATCTCAATAATTTTTCTTTTTTTTGATTATCTATATGAACAAGATTAGAATTAGAATTATTTAGAATTCTAAACATTTATCTTGATATACTTCAAGAAATAGATTAAATAGAATATCGAGAATAGATAAATATTGGAAAATAGAAATGCATGGAATATTTCGATAAATTTCTTTCCATCTAAAAGTGATTCTTAATCTGGATATAAAGAAATGAGTATCTTGAAAATTCATTGGGTTTATAGGTAAAAATATATTTAATATGATTGATTTTATATATCGATTATTATTTTGATACTAAAATATATTGATTGCTGGTATTTAAAAAGGAAATTTGTGATAAATTATATAAAGATAATATATTTTATATATATATATAAATCTAGAAATTAAAGAAAATATGATTTATATGGAT